ACATATAAGGGAGGGAGTATGTTATATTCAGTTTCGGTTTTTACTTTGTGTTCTTTCACCCCCAGGGGGCGCGTCTGTCTTTATGTATATATTCGATGTGTTGCGTACAATAAACGTCTTTTTGTACGGTGGTGCTGCCGGTGCTTCTTACGTCTTTCGCAAACACCACAGCCATGGCTTAATAGCAGCGAGCCGATTCAGTCAGCAATGCCTTCTCCGTCAAACGTTTCGTGGCCTTCCACTGAAATAAGAGTGCATGACCGTAGTGGGACGACCACATCATCATCAATTATACGTAAAGGATTATGTATCGGGCCAGAACAGTGGACTAAACCAGGGCTGTTGCAGAATGTAATTCAACGGTCCGGGATGTTGATGGCAGCACCATATTCTCTCAAGAAGTCCATCCCTATAATCAGGTCCTTGCAGCACGAGGTGAGGACGACGAACGTTGCCACGAAAGAAGAGCCACCAATCTCGAGTCTCGCTGTGCACCTTCCGACAGGCATTAACAGCCTGCCGTCCTCAGGTGAGGTCCCGTCCACGTCGTCTTTAATTTCTTAAGGCGTACGGCCAGGTTTTCACTTGTAATAGAAAAATCAGCACCGGTGTCAACGAAGGCTGTTACTTGCTGTTCATCCAGTTCATACAGTTTCGTCAGTGTTATGATTCGTCGGCTTTACAGCATCCTGTGGTAAAAGTTTATGAGGGTCTTTTTTGATCGTCTTGACGGCCTGCAACCTCACCCCCGGAGGTCGCCGCCTTCAGTTTTCTCGGCGTGGACTGGGTGTCCTCCTTCTACTAACATCAACAGAATTGCGGTGGCGTGACGAAGGCGAGCAGGCTGGAGACGAAGAGCGTGGTCAACGTCCCAAACCTGACTGGTAATCAGGCACACTGTCGGCATTGTTGGCACGACGGTCATCAAAAGGGGGTCTAGAAAAGGGTATCCTTGAGAATCAGCGTCATCTCGGCGTGCTTCATAGTTGTCGTTGGCGTGTCGATTGTCAGACCATGGCCAAAGAGGGCGAAGCGTATGAACGCGATGCTAGCAATGACGGGAAGTGTGGCCCACACCTCCACTGTTAAAACAAAGGGGACGCCTGTCTACAGTGCGCCAGGGGTTTGTTTCGCAAAGCTACGAACGCTGCAACGGCTTGTTATGTGGCGAATGCCATGTCATGTCGAGAGACAGCTCTTCGTACGGCGGCAGGATGGCAGGAAACCGCGGTGTCTGTTCTTGCGGCGGTGACCAAGGAATCGCTGCCGATGGCTGGTGGTACGATGGCGCAACAGGTAGCGGGTGGTGTAGTGCAGCTGTGTAGCTCGTGGATTGCTGATTGTGAGTAGGATCAGTCGTGGAAAATGCTTGGCGCATTTCTTCATGGACGACTTCAGCGACAGACGCCATGGGTGTTTCTAGAACCGGAGTTCGCAGTTTCTGCAGCTCTTCACGAACAATCTCTCTTATTAAATCGTGCAAGGAGCTTTGATTGTCATGCGTCGTAGCGGTGACTTGAATGTGAGCACTGCTGGACAAGCAATCGTACTGTTGGCATTGAAGGTGAAGCCGCCGCTCGATAGCAGTAGCTTCTTTGATGAAATTCACCACGGAGCTTGGCAGGTTGCGTAGAAGTCCGGCAAACAACTGCTTTTTTACGCCACACATGAGGTAGCGCAACTTCTCGGTGTCGGTCATGTGCGGGTCAGCTCTACGGAAGAGACGGGCCATGTCCTCAGCGAATATTGCGATCATTTCATTGGGTTTCTGAACCGTAGCCCGAGTAAGTGCTGCGCACTGTTGCGGCGGTCGACATTGGCGAATGTGTTAATCATCTGCCATTTAAAGTCATTCCATGTTGACAAACTGCCTTCTCTGTTCTCGTACCAAGTACGAGCACTGTCGTCGAGATACAAATAGGCACGGGAGAGCCCTTGTTCAACAGACCACTGGTTGATGTTGGCAACACCTTCATAGTAATCAAGCCAGTCTTTCGACGTCTTCATGTGCACCACCGCCCAATGCGATCAGGCACCAGTGGTGAGAAAAGGGTTACTTAAGATAAGGCGGGAGGACTACTGTCACGGAGTACCTGTTGTGGCCTGTGGGTGGCCATTGACAGAGGCTAGCGGTGCCTTGGAGAGCGCTGCTGCGAAGGGGTCAACTTTGGAGGGAGGCTTCACAAGCGACGATTGAAGCAATGGACATGAGTTTTGATAAGTGCTTCGGGCAGGAAGAATGGCTCCCTGTGGGAGTGTGGAGCATCATGCAGGGGTCGCGGTTTAGCACCTCCACCAGTGTCATGGTGTAGCGAGAAAAAAAGATGGAAACAACTTGCAACAGCGAAACAGGGCGTTCCAGAATCAGCTGTACACAGAACGCCCTCTTCGTCCTCCTCTTCTGAAGCTACAGTCCCGCTACCCGGAGTCTGCAAAACACCTCTTCTATGCATATGCACACGTGTCAATATATACAGCAGGTTATGCTTATCCAAATAAACACTCTGAGTTAAAATCTTTAGAGGCCACCGGCCGTACTACAAGCTTGTAACTGCAACTTCTGTGCTTGTCAGTTTCAAGTCTTACACATGTGGCAATTTTCAAGTCCGTCTTCAAAGATGCACTCAAGATACTGCTCTTGAGAAATCCAAATAGAAATCTCTACCCATGCACCTGCATAATTAAATTTCTTTTACAGCAAACCACGTTAAACTTAGGCATTTAATGAGCGCTAATTCAATATTTCAGTGTTTGTAAAAAGTAAAGTACAGATGGCACATTTGCAATTTAGTGAAGTCCCCTGATTGCAGTCAGCCAATACATTTTTCAGTATTTCTTTTTAATACATCTTTCTTTCTCTCTCTGTAGTCATTCTTTCTTTTTCTCCCTCTTTCTCTCTCTCCCTGTATCTCTGTATAAACTTGCTTTCCTCTCTTCCTCCTCCTCACCCCTTTACCAAAAGCTGCTCTGCCAGCATGCGAGCATGTTGCAGAGAAACGCGTTCCCAATAATTTCCTCATCACCCGACTTAATTAGGATGGCCACTCAGGTAAGACATGGAAACTCAGCCAGAATGGTATTTGCATTGATCAGGTGCTTATAAAACCTTTACGCCATTGTACTGTATGACTGGAAAATGCCACTACTTGATATCTTCATTCAAGGGACGAATACATTGTTGGGCCACGATGCGAGCTGAGTGAACATATCAGTTATCTTTTTGTATTCCTTCAAAGTGCCTTGTCTACAACACGATCTCTGTAGGAGCTGCAGAAAAGAAATTTATAAGTTACAAATTTAGTATATTGCTTTAATTACTGACACGCTAGAATACAATTTTGGATATGAGATAACATAGAATGCGAACAAAGCCGAGAATAGCCAAATGTAACTATGTTAGCGTCTAGTCTGTTTACTCCAAATAGCTTGGCCCAGATACAAGAAGCAGTTTTTTGGGATAAAATGGCAAATATTTGTGTATGCGCAACCCCTTTAGAAAAGCAACACTGTTAAGGAGGAATATGTTTTCCTATGACCAGGGAATTACCTGCTCTTTGATAATTCTAAAATGACCACGATTGTCATGATAACATTTCAATAAGCATAAAAATGCGTAAAAAAGGAAAGGCGGTGGCGATGCCACCTTAAATTACCAGCAGTAGAAATCGTCACGTCATAGATTTTGATAGAGTCTACTAGGGCCTACATAGATCCTAGTCGGTAAAAACGAACTAAATTGACATCCGAGTGACCCACAGACTGAACATACTAAGTTTCAGGATACCTTGAAGAGCCAGTACTCCAAAATACAAAGAATACAATTTGAAGTCTTTGATGCCACATGCGGAGATTACAGAGCAGAATTCTGAAATGAAACAGTGATCTTTCTTTATCTCCTATCAATAAACTTATGGCGTTGAAATGAATGACATTGTCAGTCTAAACCAAGTCAATGTTAATGTTCAGAGTCCCTTTACCAACTGAAAAAAGTCTTATTCTGGCCAGACCCACGCCCACCGCCTCAAACCCAGGCCCAAACCCACGGTGCGACCTCCTGTACCCAGGCCGGCCCACAGGTGGTCGGGAGGGCCTAGGTTTTCGGGTAGGCCCGAATCCCGTGAAGTGCTATAATGTGCGCTATGCACAGATGAGCACAAGTGTCATTGACTGGGCTGTTCTACTAAATCCTTTCAAGGAAGGCCTCTAAAATGAACCCTGGCATTGCTCCAACCTCTTTCAGAGTTGGTCACATCTTCTTCCTACCAAGTGGTGGGCATTCTCTATGTTTTCTTTTTTCTCAGCAAAGTAATGTGACTTTTGCTACGACAAAAGTGCATCTTCACCAGTACTTCCTCCTAGCTTCAGTAACCAGAATGCAATAAAGTGAAATTTATTATTTTAAAGATCAGCAGGAGTGCATCGATATTCTTTTCTTCGTGAAAATGAAGCTAACTAAAATAAATAATACTCAGGAAAAGACAAACGGTAAACAAAACAAAAAAAGACATCTCGAGATGCTTCGTAGCTTCATGGATTTACCTGGGAAAAGTGTTCACAAAAACAAAAAAGGAAAGAGAAAAGAGTTTATATTTATAATCCAATGGAAACTGAATTTGCACAGTCGAGTGCACTTGCACTTGGCAGTGCAAGACACAAATACGCATAATATTGATCATTTCTTTGATATGCTTCATTGTGCGGCACTGTTTACCTAAATAATACTTAAATATTTGAAGAAGGAAACAGCGTATCAGACAGTGCTTGCAGGTTAGGACGTTACGAAAGTATTAAAAGCTACCATATTCCATGCTCAGTGCTCACATAATATTGTTGAAAACTTGCCTAGGTGTGCAACCAAGTAGATAGCTAGCACCACCTGAGAAAGTCGTGAAATCATTTCTCCTTGAAACGTGGACAAACTCATTTTCACGTGAGTTTGAGAATTTCACTAGCTGGGATGTTGTGCGATCTGAGCAGCACGCAATGCATGGGCGGTGCAGATCCCCAGTGTGTGGCGTGTGGCACTAGCTCCCGCATGAAGTGCATCTGGCTGAACGACGCCGAGTTTTCTTTCCTGCGCTACCAGCCGTGGCAGTGCCTGCGCTGCGCTGTCAACCACTCGTTCGAGGCAACAGGGGCCGGCAGCCCGGCTGCACGGCGAAACCTCTGCATCTGGTTCACGCGAGTCACCCGGCTCAAGGCCAACTACACCGAGCTTCAGTGCAAGATGCTCTCCTCTTCGACCGAAGGTCAGCGGCTGCATGCGCCCGCACTGTGACTGAGCATGCACTTTTGAAATGCTAACACTGCCTGCGAGTGCTCTCTCGTGAGATCATTGTAGGCAGCACACACACGCAGACACCTTGTATGCAATGCAAGGCACAAGAGCACAGTACCAGGCCAGGTGTTGATCCAACATGGTTCCAAAGCTGGTCAGCACACTAGCCCGCTTCAATGTCTGACGTCATTGCTATTTAATACAGAATGGCAACTTCTGGTAGATTGTGAAGACTGCTTGCAATGTAGCATGCAAACTTCACCTTTCATGTACAGGCAGTCTTAAACACACTAAAATCTGCTTCGCAATTGAAGTTTTCTCTCTTGAAGAAATGCAGCATGGAAGCTGTAGAAGCTGAAGGAGCAACCTTTGAAGAAACCATCATAAACTCTCTTGGGGCAGCTAGTGCAAGTGCAGTTGCGAGGTAGCCATGAATTGTCACAACTTTGCATAGTAGGGGAGTACCTACTGTGCCATTACTCATCATTCTGTGGATAACCAAGGCATCCACCGCACATCTGTGAGGCATTATGTGCACATGTTTTGGTGCTGTGGCTTTTCAAAAGGAAGAAGGGAACAGGAAACTGTGCGACACTCACGAAAATGACGAAACAAGTGTTGTTCAGTGTTTCGTACTGTTTCTCATTTTCTTCAAGATGTACCTACCCAACCGACCAAGTAAGCACTCTACGACGATGAAGAGTCATGGCTGAGCCTTTTGCAATGGGTGAGAAGCTCTAAACCACCCACTGTTTATGTAATTCACAGTGTGGGACATCTGGTGTTATTTTTTCTTCTACTATGTTACAGTTGAATCTCATTATTTCAAACACATTTAATTTGAACGTGTGGTTTATTTGAAATCACGATGAGGTCCCGTCAAAGCTAAGTGTATTCTAGTGGGTGAAAACGCCCGGTAATTCGAAGGCCCAAGCACTTCGCGCGGTTAATGCGAACATACCGCGCTTCGAAAATACTCTCAGCACTCCGCCTGATCCCGCCTCAGCACCTGCGACACCTCAGCGCTGCCCGAATGCTGCCCGCCAAGGAAACGAAAAGGAAACAAAAGGCTGTGGTGGAATGTTTGCTCTCTCTCAAATGTCGATCGGCAACGCGCCCGTGTCACGCTTCTCCCTTTTTTGTCCCTGCCACGTAAAGACCCTCCTCCTTCCAATGTAGTGAAAAAAAAAAAAAAGAAAGCGGTCGCTGGTGTTGAATGATTGTGTGGTAGAAGGAAAGGAAAAAGGCACTATCTTCTGCAGCCCTTGCCCCTTGCGGGAGCACGGCTCTGCACCTTGAAGGGGGGGGGGGGGGCTCTCACGCGCCCCCGGTGCCATGCCACGCTTCCCCCTTTCCCTTTCCTGGCACGTAATCCTTCTCCTTTCAACGACCTGTGCGAAGAGAGCAAAGAAAAAAAAGCTGCCGTGGAGTGTTGGTTTTCTCTGAAATACTGATCTGCTTCTCTCCACGTGGAGACGCTCCTCCTTTCTCGTCACGTGCTGGCCATGGTGCGGCTGCGTAGCGCAGAACGGGAGGCTCTGCTACGCAGCAGTTGTTGTCGTCGTCTTTAGAAAGTGTCAGCGCGGGACATTTTCGCGCGCAACTTCTCTTGCCAGGAGAATGCTGGAGGCGAAGTACAAATGCTTTGCAAGCTGCGTGCGAAATTGATTAACTCGCTGCAAGGCAAACGTGTGCAGGCGCGCATCACCGATTACTTCAAATAATAACGGATGTCCTGTGATTTGTGAATAAATGTAAGTCTTCTTAAACTTCCCCCTCGTGTGTTAGCTCAATGCACATGTGCCACTGCATAGAGAGCCCTCCGTTTAGTCAGCTTTCATTGATTCGAACAAACTTTCGGGCCTCTGCTAGTTCATATTATCGTGATTCGACTGTATAATAGTACACATGTAAAAATGATTCTATTCTCGTCATGATGCTTTTACAGGGTCTTTCTTTATGCAACAGAGTTTCAAGCACCTATGTGGCTCTGTTGTACAATATGCCACTGGGTTCCAATCAAGTTCGAACGTTTTTTTGTTTTTGTTTTTTTTTTCCTCTTCCGCGATAGCCATTTCGGATACTGGGGACTGTGGCCTCCAAAATTAGCTCACAACAGCTTTCACTGCAAAAAAGAAATAATTAAAATACAGTGTTTCCAGGAGAAAAGCATTATCACAGGAAAATACTCATATTTTTAATTTAATCACTGTGGCCTCCAAAATCAGCTCACAACAGCTTTCACTGCAAAAAAGAAATAATTAAAATACAGTGTATCCAGGAGAAAAGCATTACCACAGGAAAATACTCATATTTTTAATTTAATCACTGGCAATAAACGGTAGCGACCTCGGGACAGTATCAGCAAGAGCTGGACGGTTATAAGGACAATGTTGCAGCAGCAACTAGCCATGCAGTTCAAGCGCGCGCAACGCTATCAATGTGGCTGTTGCGGTGGGCATTCATCTTCACCACAATTCATCCCCTTTTGGAAAAGGAGCCATCTTGGGGACTCATGGAGAACATAGTACTAGTGGATTTTAATATGGCTTCAGATGCTGTACGTGGATGGCTTCGAGAAGCAATGGTCTGTGGATGGCGTAACTGGCTCGATGGCAAAGTATACAGGTCACGTCTGCACAACAACACAGTAAGGGACCTCATATATTGAAACAAACTTCAAGGAGAGGCGAGTAGGGACAGCTGGAACCCGAAGCCACTCAAGTTTGCCTGAAACAAAGTAGGGTACTGATGGTCATTGTCAAGTCAAGATTTTTGTCTCCATTAGTCGAAGGTAGTGAACTGAGCAAGCTTACGGCATTCCTCAGCACGGCTGCCAGCTTCACGGATGGGCAAAGACTCGGATGAATCAGGGTTACATGGCAGAATGGTAGCTAGTGTGGTGGAGGGTTCTCGGCCATATAAGAGGTAAAATGGTGAAGAGTTTGTAGTCGCCTCTGGAGCAGTGCTATATGCGTACATTATGAAAGGCAAAATGTGGTCCCAATCAGAATAGTCTGAGGCAACATACCGTATTCACTTGCATAATAGGTACAGTCTCTGTCCAGAAAATCTGGTGCCAAATTCGGAGTGAGCCTATTAGGTGGAGTAAAATTTCCAAAAATTTTATTGCCGACTACAACGTAGACCATAGATAACATACGATGATTCCATACAAAACCGCAACTGATCCCCCGTGACCGCCACCGAAAAGCAACCAACGCTGACTAGGCGTAGGCTACGGTTCGGCATGTTGTCGCAGGAAGTTTGTAGGAGACAACATGAAAATTGGGAGTCAAAAAGATTGAACTCAAGCACTGATCCAAAAGCAGCGCTCGTGATACGATGGTAAAGCTCGCGGCTGAGAAATCAACGGCGACATATGTCTTTCAAGCTTGTGCAAGTCTGGGTAGTGGTAGCAAAGCTGAAAGCTGGCGTAGCAAATTCAAATAGCTTTTAAATTTGAGGACCATATAGCAAACGTGATAACGACGACGCTACAAAGTAGGTGATACAAGAAATGTAACAAAATTACGGAAACTTATATATAAGAATAAATAGTGGCAAAAACGAAGTGATGCCTTAAAGCACGAAGAAAAATAACATACGCACAGCCAAATTTTTACATATAGAAACGCCTGAAGTATTACAAGTATTGAAGACTAAACATCCGAAGAAGTAATATTGCATGAGAACAAAGCACATATGTTGTAACAAGCACTAGAAATATGGAGAAGGCAAACCTATGTCATGGTTTGGATGCTTTTTCAAAGTCATCACATGAAGCGACATCAAGTGGTAAGCTATTTTATTGAATGCTTGTTCGGGAAAAGAGGGAATTTCGAAAGATGTTAGTCCGAGTGGAGTATGGTTGCAGGTTCTGCATATGACGATGCCTAGATGCGCGAGAAAAAAAATGGCCGTATACTTATGGGCAGGGATGTTTAGCTTCCAATCATAAATTGAATGCAAAAATTTCAGACGTGTCATTCTGCGGCGTTCTTCAAGCACAGAAATGCCGTTGTCTTTGATTTATTTTATGGGAGAATCTGTTGATTTAAACTTAGAAAAAATAAGACGTACATTGCGTGTTTGAACCATTTCAAGTTTTTGAATATCTTTTTGTAAAAAGGGTCCAAACTACGGATGCATATTCTATTTTAAGCAAAATACACGCTTTGTACACGAGAATATCTTTTTGTAAAAAGGGTCCCAAACTACGGATGCATATTCTATTTCAAGCAAAATACACGCTTTGTACACGAGCTTTTTTAATTTGAAAGGGGCTTTTTTCAGTTTGTGCCTCAGAAACCAAGCTTACAAGAAGCTGATGAGCAGACATTTGTTATATGTGAAGACTAAGATAGTGTGTTTGTAATGGTAACTCCTAGCTACTTATATTCATTTACTTCTTGTACTGGCGTTCCGTAGACGTGGTAGGTAAACGTGAATGGCTGTTTCTTTTTTGTCACACGTAGGAGTATTGTGTTGTCAGGGTTTGATGTCATTGACGACCTAGTACACCACTCACTAACATGTGTTAATTGAAGATTTAGATCAACCTGATCTTGTTGGCATCTCACTTTTTATACAGAACACAGTCGTCAGCAAACAATCTGATAATAATGTTAGACTCAACTATGTTAGCTATCATTTATGTATACAAAAAGAATGGTCCCTAAAACACTTCTCTGTGAAACACCTGATAATACCGGTAATGTGTTAGAAATATGTCCCCCCACGTCAACGTACTGTGCGTGATTTAATTGATAAGCATCTATCCAATTTATGACAAAAGATGTAAATTCAAGTTTTGTAGTTTTAAGAGAAGTCCGCCATAAGGAATGCGGCCGAATGCCTTGCTAAAATCTAAGAAAATGAAATCAACCTGGCCTGAATAATCAAGTATTTGTGCAAGATCATGAACTGTTTCAAGAAGCTGTGTACACGTTTATAGTTTTTTCCGAAAAG